GTCCCCCGCCAAATCGCCAAGGTTCTTGTCGGTCCCCACAGCGACGAGGTGGAAGGTCACCTCAAGGAGGATGGCACCCAGGCTTGCCACAGGGCAGGCCCTAGGAAGATTTGGGCTTGGACCAGCGCGTATGGCAAGAACACGTGAACTTGGGTCAGTGCGTGTTTTTTGGTGACCCGGCCCACGTAATTAAATTTTGTCCACAGTACAGACAAGCCCGATGGGCTGCTCAGCAGTCGAAAGGCAGCCGCCAGTAGGGGTCGCAACTGCCCCTACTTCAAGGCCATGTGAGGAAGCGAGCGCGCGTGAACAAGACACTCCCAAACCACATGAGCCTATGGCAGAGGTTGCAGGCCCGTGCCTAGCTAGCTGTCCAGAAACTGCTTGTGTTAGCGTCTCTTTAGGCACGTCCCTCACAGGCGTGGCAGAGGAACTGAAGGAGAGGATGCCGGCCTGGGCCAAAATGAAGAAGGAGAGTAAGGGACAACTAATCTTAGTTGATGTAGAGGTTTTTCGGAGTAGAGTAGGGGCCCTTATAGACTCAGGGGCTACCCGTAGTTACATTAGCCGTAGAGCGTTGAAGAAGCTGAGGCTAGGATTAAAAGTCCAAAAGTTAGTAGACCCCATAGTCAGTGTCCTCGCAGACAACCTCACTATGCGCGTTGAGGACTACGTAGAGGGAGTCAAGGCGTACTTTCGCCTAGAGAAGGATGGGAAGGTGGAGAAAGTTTTCCATTCCCTGACTCTCCTCGTTCAGGATGACCTTCCTTTCGACATAGTGTTAGGAATGGATTGGGGAGAGGCAGCAGGGGCCATACTCCATTTGAGAGAACATGAGTGTAGGCTCCCTAGTCTGTCAGGCGAGGTTAAGACCGCCCGCCTGTTTCATGTGTCAGGTGTAGATAACACCTTCGCACATTGTTGTCTCAGTGCTCCCGCGTCCGCGCGATTAGTGAAAAAGGAGCAGTTAGAGGACCAAATCTTTGTAGTTTGTGTCAGACCTGCCACTGAGGCTAAGGAAGAGATAAGTTCCACAGATCCAACCATTGCCAAACTGCTGGAGGAGTTTAAAGACTTGACTGAGTTGCCGATAGGAGTAGTGCCTCGACCCATCCAGCACAGGATAGAGATAGAACTTGGCAGTAGAACTCCGAAGGGAGCAGTCTACAGAATATCCCCTAGAGAGTTAGAAGAGCTATGCAAGCAGTTAGACGAGCTCCTCGAGAAAGGTTGGATCAGACCCAGTTCGTCTCCTTTTGGAGCACCAGTCCTGTTTGTCCCCAAGAAGGAAGGAGAGCTTCGTATGTGTATAGACTATAGGGGTCTGAATGCGATTACTGTAAAGGTGGTTGGCGCGCCTCCTTTCAGCGTTGTATGAACGATCTGTTTAGACCTTGGTTAGACAAGTTTGTAGTAGTCTATATAGATGATATATTAGTGTTCAACAAGACCCTCCAAGAGCATCAAGGTCATTTGAGGCAGGTCTTGGAGAAGCTTAGAGAGGCTAACTTCAAGATCAACGCGGAGAAGTGCGAGTGGGCCAAGACGCAAGTCCTGTACTTGGGCCACGTACTAGACGGAGATGGCATTAAGCCGGAGGACAGTAAGATAGCGGCGATTAGAGATTGGTCAACGCCCCGCACATTGATAGAGTTACGGTCGTTCTTAGGCCTAGCTAACTACTACAGGAAGTTCGTAAGGAACTTCTCTACTATCGCCGCTCCCTTGCGCCGGTTGCTTAAGAAAGAGGCAATCTGGCAATGGGACAAAGATTGTACGTGTGCGCTAAAGAGATTGAAGCGCGCGCTAATAGAATACCCTGTCCTCAAAGTAGCTGATCCGTCCTTGCCATTTGTCGTCACCACGGACGCAAGCCAGTATGGAATAGGCGCCGTGTTGCAGCAAGACGACAGCAATGGCTATAGACCCGTAGAGTTCATGTCAGCGAGGATGCCCTCAGAGAAGGTTGCCACCTCGACGTACGAGAGAGAACTCTACGCTCTCAGGCAGGCCTTAGAGCACTGGAAGCACTACCTGCTTGGGAGGCACTTCAAAGTGTATTCTGACCATGAAACGCTTAAATGGTTAAAGACTCAGGCCAAGATGACACCTAAGTTGACGACTTTGAGCTCAAGCCAGTGAAGGGCAAGTACAACGTAGTTGCGGACGCTCTAAGTAGGAGATCAGACTACTTTGGCGCCATAGTACACTATCTGGATATAGGGAGAGACCTGCAGGAGAAAGTGAGGCAAGCGTATGCGCAAGACCCTATCTATAGTGACCTCCTCAAGAGAGTTAAGGAGGCCCCAGAGACCGAACCACACTACCGCACTACAGAAGAATTGCTGTTAGGAGACGGATGTATTCGACCGCGTATGCGTTTCCGATAGTGAGGAAGTCCGCAGTTTGATCCTAGGGGAATGCCATGACACAGAGGGACACTTTGGTTGGCAAAAGACGTTAGCCAATCTGATGCGTGCGTACACCTGGGCAGGGATGAAGAATGACTGCATAGAGTATGTTCGCAGTTGCGAAATTTGCCAGAGGAACAAGACCACTACGCGTGCCCCTCTAGGTCTTCTCAGACCCTTGCCCATTCCTGATCAGCCGGGAGACTCAGTCTCCATAGATTTCATACCAAGTCAAGAGTACACATGGAAAGAGCCAAGTCATGATCATAGTTGACCGATTCAGTAAGTATGCCGTTTTTTATCCTTTGCCTGCAGAGGCACGCACAAAATTAGTTATTCAGAAGTTTTTTGATCATTGGATTACAAGAACAGAACTTCTAGAAACAGCTCCAGACATAGTCAGAGCTTATGAACGTGATAAGAAGGGTAAAGGTCCTGCCTTGGACTAAAATATTCTCGGAGGACCTCGAATTTAGGACGGCGGGAGTGAAACGGTTTTCACCTCTTTGCAGTAGCAGACGCAGATCCCAGGTCTCGATCCCTAGACCTTGCCCTACCTGTGTACAGTACCTGTGTAGACCCCGAGAGTTGAACCTGTGACCTGTGTTCGTAAACAGTTGGTAGGCTGTCATAGGTCCGTAGGTAGCAGGGGTTCGATCTGTAGATCTGTAGGATAGAAGTCTTTAGTCAGTTCCAGAAGTCTTAGCTGTAGTCCTTCTAGAAGGCCGGCCAGTGGTCAAGTGGTGAGTCAAGTGGTAGACTAAACCACAGTGCGATTGCAGTAGGACTCCGGTGGGATAGCAGTGAGTCCCCGTTCAGACAGCGGTCAGGTCCAGTCAGTCCCAGTCTGGTCCAGCAAGTACCACGAGGGACTGTGAGCACCATGGGCCAATGGCAAAGGGCAGACCAACGAGCTTCAGAAGTATAAATCAAGAGGCAGCGCCCAGCCATTCATTCATTCCTGCGTGAGCCATGCGGAAGCGGTGCCACAGCGACTTGTGCGAGGAGGTCTGCAGAGAGCCCGGAGCTGAAGAGGGCGAGAGAGAAGGAGTGTAGCATAGCGATAGGGTAGTTGCGGCCATAGCCGCCATAGCTAGAGTTAGTGTGTATTGTGTGTGTGTGTTGTGTGAGTCTGAGAGTCGCGTGTGGGATATCCGGGGTGATCTGGTGTATGTGAACAGTGAGTTGTTTGGGCGCTGAGTCGCCATAGCCAATTGAAAGTGAACTCGTATCTGGATGCCATATCTCTGAGTTTTGAGTGGGCGCATGCCGCCAGTTTGCTGCGCTACTGTTTACATGCATGAAAAGTGTGAATAAGACCGAGTCTGATTGCACCCGCCCCAACAGCGGTAGTCAGAGATGGGGTGGGGCCGCCGGTGGGGGTCCGGCTAATGCAAAGACCGAGCATTTTGCCAGTAGCTGCGCCTCCCTTTCTCATCGTCCCCCACCAATCGTCGAGTAGCAGCAGGGGCTATATTTTGTTTTTGCTCTTCTGTTTCAGACAGGTGGTGCCATCTGCATTCTGGCGCCCGTTTTCAAAATCCTTCTTTTGGGACTTTCAGATTTCAGACACTTGGCGACATCCGACATTCTGGCGCCCACTCTCAGACTTTTGATTTTCAGTACTGGCCCTGAGGCATTTGCACTTTCGCCCTCAGGACCGTACCTGAGTCCGGTACTTATGTCCGGACTCAAGCCCAGTACGGGCACCAAGTTCTCAGCCTCAGTGCTTGTGTTCAGTCTGACTTTGCTGTGACATTGTGTTCGGGAATTCAAGACTGCGACTTTGCCACTTTGCCTATTTGTATCTGCGCTCGTTGAGTCGTGTCGAGTCTGCGTCGAGATGAGTGAGTGTGTGTGTGTGCTCTCCCTCTCCCTCTCTCTCCCAACTTCGCTGCTCTGCCTCTGCCTCGTCACATTTCATCGCGTGCGCTGGCCTTTGGTCGCGTGTTCGAAGGAAGTCGCAGCCCATGGAAGTTATTGAATGCGGGCTTCCACAGTCCACACCTGAATCAGTGCTGTCTGGTCTTTAGGGGTGGCAACTTACCATAGGCATCGGCTGCTCTCAACTCGAAATCTTTAGCACCCAAACATTTTCTCGCCTCATGTGTTCTAGTATTGTCTGCTCCAGCGATGAGTATTTAGAATCTGAAGTTCTTCGCATCTCTGTCCCGTCCTTTGCACCCCAATTCCTCCCCTACCCTTTCTGCCTACCCAGTCCCTTGCTCCCTACAGAACTCCACTTCTTACCTGTTTCTCTACCCTCCCCTTATATGCTACTAGCAAATAACATACAAATGAGCATCATTAAGAGAATAGAGGAAGTATAATCTGAATATCTGAAGTGAAATGAGCAGGAGTATACCTTCCCCTTACTCTGCCTCCTTGCCTCCTTTCATAATGTGCAAGTGGGCCGTCAAGGCACACTGGGTGATCTGCAATAGGACATAAGCTGCTTTGATTCTGAATCTACTCATCTGTGTGGAATTGGTGCTGTTGTGGGGAAAATTTAAAACACAGGTGTTGGAGGCAATCACCTCAAGTAAGGGGCATGAGGGCTACTCTTATGAACAGCACGAGTTCCTGGGAGATGGCTTTCTGAAATTGATGGTATCTGTGCACTTGTACGCTAAACATCCAGCAGACCATGAAGGTATCTTAACAAACTTACGCAAGAGGATGGTGTCAAATTCCAACCTTTGTGGGCGTGCTGTGGAGAGGGGAATTGGGAACATTGTGGTGGCTCATCAGTTTGATCCAGGTGAATTGGCTGTGTCAGGGGTGGCGCTTCCAGTGGCTACTGCCCAGCATCAGGCATCAGGCTCAGATGACAGAAATGGAGCAGATGACTCAGTGAATGGCCATGCCAGCAGCGAGAGCTCATTAAATTCGAATGATAATAATGCAGAGAACACCAGTGATGACGAAGATGTCACGTCTGATAAGGAAGTGTGCGAATGTGTTATGCCTGATGGAACAATAGGAAGGAGGCTTTATTCCAAGACACTGGCAGATGTTGTCGAAGCACTTGCTGGCGTCTATTACACAGAAGTTGGGAGTGAGGGTGCACTGAAGCTTCTGTCTTGGTTCGGTATCCATCTTGATGGTAGTCACAAGATATTGCAACACACGGGTTCGATCCCTGGCGAGGTGATTGCAAATGATGTGGATCAGGTTATGGAAGACGTGACAAAATGTGCGAATGGACCTCCTGAAGCTGTTTCAGCAGTGCCTGGTGAACATGTTCGACTGCAAATAGGTGATATGGATCCAGTGGAAAGCAGTGCTGGAAACATGAGGAAGGTTGAAGAAATTGTGTGCTACCGATTCAAGCACCCCAAACTCCTCTTGCAAGCCTTCATGCATACGTCGTATGCAGATGTTGTTGCCTGGCCATGTTACCAGAGGTTGGAATTTCTGGGAGACGCATTAATTGATTGGATAACAACAGTGAGAATTCTGACAAAAAACACGGATCTTGAACCTGGGCAGCTTTCTGTGATGCGTGCCATGGCGGTCTGCAATGAAACACTAGCACGTGTTGCTGTGAGGTTCTCTCTTCAGCAACATCTTCGGCATGCATCATCAGACCTGATGAACCACATAACGAGTTTTGCCGAGGCTGTCAGGAAAGAAGAAAAGAAGACGCCAGCAAGAACATTGGGGAAGGGCAACCTCAAAGCATATGGTTTAATAACAGAATTTGCACCAAAGGTGAGAGTTGGGCCCGTCTTATGTTCCATAGTTTTTGAACATTTGGCGTGGGTGGGTAATCAAGCTGGAATTTTTGCCTTCTGCTGAATGTGTTTGACCCTAATCTGTGAAGCTCCACCAAAGGCGAGAGCTGCACAATATACAAGACATTTTGTCAGGCTTCATCTTTGCTTACTATATTCTATGTACTATATTCTAGTGTAATTTTTGAATACTGGGCGTAAGTGGGTAATCAACTTCGAATTGTGGCCTTCTGATGAAATTTGTCTGGCCATGCAGTGCATGAAGAGCTGGCCACCACATGTATTGTGAAAGAAAATCATGGGCCGGTTTCTGCATATCCTCAGCATTCAGCAAACCTGCAATAGTACGATGATAAGCGATGTAGAAGCTGTAAAAGGTCTGAAAGAGGCACATATTCTGGGGCTCTCTGGATGTGTATTTGTTTTTGGTTCTACAGGGAATCTCCTACACATCCAGAGAGCCCCAGAATATGTGCCTCTTTCAGACCTTTTACAGCTTCTACATCGCTTATCATCGTACTATTGCAGGTTTGCTGAATGCTGAGGATATGCAGAAACCGGCCCATGATTTTCTTTCACAATACATGTGGTGCCAGCAACTGGCCCATGTCCCAGATTGTGTAAGACAACAGATCCGGGCAGATGGTCCTACCAGCAATGAGGACCAATTGATGGGCGATCTTAAACCACCTCTCCGTCCTTACTCCGGCACACGAAGGAGAAGTTGCAGGGTAGCCGGCATTCGTCCTGACCCGAACAAGACGGGGCGAACAACCGAATGTTCGGTATCCCCCCAACTTCCAATGCGAAGTTTAATTATTTTTATCGTTTTCTTTTCAGTTCTTTTTGGATTTTTTTAATAATCGGCAGTCGTCAGGGAGTAGGGTGGGGCTGCCGGTGGGGGGGCGCTGGCTAACGCAAAGGCCGAGCATTTTGCCAGTAGCTGCGCCTCCTATCTACTTCCCCCACCGCCCATCGAGTAGCAGTAGTGGCCATGTAGAAGGGCGCTCCAAGTTTTTTCAGATTCGGTGCTTGCTTGCTGGCGGAGCCTTCTGTGTAAGTTTTTTTTTTTTTTTTTTTTTTTTTTTTTTTTTTTTTTTTTACACCCCCTTTAGTGCTAGTGGTGCTGGTAAGAGCAGGCACTGCTACTACCAGGGGAGAGGCTCTGTCTATTGATGGGGAGCATCACCTGCTGGAAAGCGGGTCCAGCGTCCTGTTGCCTTTTGCCCTTCACCTTTTTTAGAGATTGAAAAGAACTATATCTGTGCAAGTGTGCCGCTTCTGCGGCAGACGAGTGTGTGGGCACTTCCCGTCCAACCACACAAAATATGGGGAACCTTGCACCTTCTGTTGTATTGCTCGCCTATACTGTATTTTCAACTTTTTTGTTCTTAAGTATGGTTTATGATCATTTGTGGACAGAATGGGACAGAATTCGTTTTTTTTGTTAGAAACACACACACACACACACACACACACACACACACACACACACACACACATTTCACTTCAGATCTTCAGCATATGCTTAGTCTTTGTGTCTGTCGTTCGTCTTCATAATCCTGTTCATTTCTCTTCAAATCTTCAACTCATACTTTGTCTGTACTCTTACTGATGCTCATTCGTATGTATTTCCTAGTTGCACATAAGGAGAGGGCGGAGGGAAAGGGATAGGAGGTAAGTTTGTCAGGACGTGAGGTAGGCGGAAAGCAGAGTGCAAGGGTAGGGCAGGCGAGACGTATATGATGGGCTTCGCAGAATTCTAAACACTCACCGCTGGAATAGCACATGAGGTTCATTGGTGTTTGGGTTGCACAAGATTTTGAGTCAAGGAGCAGTTATTGCCTATGGTAAGTGACCACCCCTCACGAGGTTCATTGGTGTTTGGGTTGCACAAGATTTTGAGTCAAGGAGCAGTTATTGCCTATGGTAAGTGACCATCCCTACAGACCGGACAGGACCGGTTCGGGTGTGGACTGTGGAAGCACCGCATCCAGTTTTCGCAGTCACAGTTGCTGCATCGAATGGCACGGCGCAGACAGATGTCACAGGCAACGTGGCTCCTACATGCTAGGAACACGGAGGCACGTCGACCACAATTATAGAGGCACTGCCGTTCTAGCCCCCGTCTACAAATTGGACATGACATGTCAGGGTGCCGTACATGAGTAGAGTGCTGACTGTCGTCGTAGGTATGAAAGCAGAAAACTTGCATGGACTATTCCTTCATAATCCTCACAGCACAAAGCATGTGAACCACACGCTAGTTGAATCTCCGGCGGGTCATCACATAGGGGCATAGAGCATGTTTCTTGGGTTTCCTCAGTATTTATTCCTTATGTATGGGCAGACGACGACAGGGAGGGTCGGTCCAAAGCAAGGGCGTTCAGCTGCTGCAGGATTTGGTCCACAACAGCTCGCCTTGATGGTGATAAGCGATCAGTACCCCGCTCTGAAGCTGGTTCATATAGAGGCCCATTTTCCTCCTCGGGCTGCTGTGTGTGTCGCACGTCTGGCAAGGAAGAGGAAGAACCCTCTGCGGTTGCCGTAGGTGTATGACCAACACCGCATGTGGGACATGCGAGGAGAGGATGTGGTGGGTGATGGCACCGGGGATAGTCCACGCAGTAAAGACACATACTTTCTATGACTGCTTCCTGAAAGCACTGACAACACATGGCATGTTGCTGACATGTCATCAGTATGGAAGAATGACGTGCACAGTTATTTAAGCATGGCAGATCAAGGCCACAACGGCATGCTGGGCAAGTAATCAGGGGGTGGGGGGAATGAGCACAAGACAAGGGATCACAATTTTCGTGGGAGAGGCTAGCAGCGACCATCCCTTCATAATGTTCGGAGCAGAGGCTATGCCGTGTACACGCCAACTGAACTGTACCTGTGCCACTGCACAATGGGAGGGTACAGCCACTATCCTCTGCAGAGGTACGTTCATTGTTTGTGGTAGGACCAGCCAGATCGCTCTGCAGGGGGTGTAGTGCTTGCGAGTTGTGATCGACATACTGTTCCTGATGGACGAGCCAGACTGCGTGATCCTCCTCCATTTGGTGATAGAAAGAATTAACATTTCC